GGCGCAGGAGAGGAAGATCCTCGATGAGATGGATCGATTCTGTGAGTGGAGTGGTGGGAATGACTGTGTTTGGGATGGTGATGTTGACACAGCACAGACGGCATTTAGAGCTCTTGTACATAGGGTTGCTATGAGTCGCAAGTGACTCAATGGCACATAACAACAACAACAACAGTATCAAGCAAGATGAAGCTGTTGACAGTTTCAAACTCCTCTCTATCTATCATGACATTGCCTGTCTGTCAGTCCAATGGTAAAAATCTTTGTTTTCTGGACATTGAGATGCAATCCATACTGAAAGTAGTATTCTTTGATCTTCTGCAACAAGTGCTTCAAGTCCTCCTCACATTCAGCAAGCAAAGTTGTGTCTTCTGCATAATGTTGGTTATTCATGAGTCTCCCGCCAATCTTGATGCCACACTCTTCCTCATAGAGGCCAACTTCTTGGGTAATTTGCTCAGCATACAGATTGAACAGCTTATGGAGAGAGACTACTATCCTGGCTCGCTCCCTCCTTAATGTTAAACCATGTGGTGTTCCCCTGCTCCGTTCGCATATAGCCTCCTGGTGCAGGTTTAGGTGCTCAGGAGGGAGGGAATGAGTGAGTGATACATGAAACCAAAGCAAACCTGCCGTGGACCAGATTCTCACTCTTGACAACCTTCTCATTGGGTTTCTGAAGTTGTAAATATTTATAGGAGGAGATGGCTTTAGTTTTCTTTCATACAGTAACTTGTAGATTTAAACTGTCAATCTGTCCTTTAGCAAACCAACATGTCATACACCATACTACCAGGGTTCAGTGTGTGTGTGTGTGTGTGTGTGTGTATGTAATTTTGCCCTAGATCATCTATTTCACTTAAGCAGTGTTTATTTCTTGGGGCAAAAGTGTACCAGTGCTTACCTGACATATTGCTTTGTTAGCTGACACTTACCAGGCTGACAAAATTTAAAGGCCATGACATTGAGAAAATAGTTTGTGATGACTGTACCATAGGGGTGCTTGGTGGGTGGTGATTTACATGGTAGGATGTGTAATTCACCCTCTTTTTGTTTTGACTGCTTGGGGTTGACTCTTACCATTTCAGCCACCAGTAGGATGGCAGCACTGAAATCCTTCACAAGGGTCAATCTAGTCTGAATATATCAACCTATAATGAATGATTAAGATCATTAATGATTAAGGCAATTAATGAGTAAGATCAACCTATAATGAATGATTCAAATTCAGTGAACCTATAACTCCTGCCCTTTTTCCTACACTTGGAATTTGCGCTCAGAAATGAAGACTGTGATTTAATGGTTAATATTTTATTGATGAAATTTGAGGCAAATAACAAGGAGAGGAAATAATGAGATTGACAAAGGCCTTGTCAAACATTGCCCAAATGTAGAAAAATGCACTATATATTAGAAAAACTGTACATGAAACAAAAAAAAAATGCCTAAGGATGTGGATCTGTTCTATGTTTTTCAATATTTTGATTATCAAAATAGTCACTGAGTTAGTTATCCCCCAAATTTCAGTCATGTGCAGTGTTCCTGGATTTAAATAGTGGTGCTAGAGTGCTGGGATTGTCATCCAGTGCAATTCTAGAAAATGTTGAGTTCAATAGTAGCATTTGAAACCCACTGGTGACTGTGTATTTGGAATTTTTCAGTGGTCAGAATATCATTGCATATATTTTGAATTTTTGCCCACTCTTTTATTTTTGTTTTGGATAAAACATCCATCTTGAGGGCATTCTTACCACTGGGGACACTAATTACCAAACATTAACATGATAACAGCAACCTAATCATCCTCCAATGCCATACTGAACTGTCAAAGTGTTTAAAACGAGACCGAACCCACATACAGACATTTATGTTCTGATTGTTGCATTAAAACAGTTCAAGGGCATCTTCATAGATCATCTTTCTTTTTGATGATCATTTGTCTAACCAGAGCTGCTATGCTAGGCTTGATGACTTCAAAGGGCTCCTCTGGCTTCCAGAACTTCACAACTTGACCCTCAGTGTTGACCAGATACTTCCAAAAATTCCACTTTGGTTCCTTCTTTGACGAGTCTAAAATACCAGAACATATTTTCACCATCATAACTTGGTCAAGATTTTCATTTCTATCAGTTTCTACATAAGTAACAATTTTAGGGTCAGATTCTAGGATTGTCAGAACATCAAGTGTGAAACAAAATACCCAAACAAAGAAACCCTCAAGGTTTGAATAACCAGATTTTGATATTTGGATCTCTTTTTCAGTGATTTTGCTGATTAAGAATCATGAAATGAAACAGAATTATTTATTTTGAATTTTTTGATCTAAACAGCAAAAGAAAAAAAAATCTACCTTGTCATTAACTCAAAACCTGAAATTTCTTAAGATTTTTTGATGAAATTATAATCTAAAAGGTCATTAGTAATAGGCATATATTTTCTTTTTGTATCAATTATTATTCATGTTCTTTGTATTGTTATATATTAGCTGAAAAGAAAGAATTTTAAATGATCTTATTTTGGGAAATTATATCCTTCTGATAAATTAATACAAGAAATGTAGATGTTTTTGTCATTTATATAGGATTCATGTTCATATTCTTGACTAATGTAAGAACATATGTATATATACAGACACATGTATAAACTAAAATTTATCAAGTGCTTACTATGTGTTTAAAAATGTCTCCAGCACTGTAAAATGGATCTTTTAACTTAAACTTTACCTCAACCTTATGAGGTAGGTATCATTATTAAAAAAAAACCCTAAAAACCAAGAAGGCGGCCTACCTCAAGGAGCTTTGGTGGCCTAGTAGCAAAAAGTTGTGCTGCAATCCCAAAGGCCCATGGTTCGAGGCCACCAGTTGCTCAATGGGAGAAGGATGGGCAATCTCCTCCTTGCTATTAATTGCCTTTGAAAACCTGCCAGAGGGTCAGCTATGGGTTGGTTCCAACTCAACTGTGTACTTCATCCCAAGGAACATGGCAGAGCAGACAGATTTAAGAAGGAAAGAGACAGATACTTTTTGTATAGGATGGGTTGAGGTTTTGTGGGACCCCCAATCTGAACTGACAGGCTGGACAGTGATTGGGCTTTGGCTCTTAGGAGAGAGGTCACTCATGGGGAAAAGGTAGAATAAGAAGCCAAGTGCATTTTGGGAGAATCTGGGCCTGAGGATTGATGTTAAGGGTTGATGGAAAAAGAGGAACCTTCAAAGAAGGGCCAGAGAGGAAGACCCTGGGATCTCTGGCAGCTAGGTTCAGGGAGTTGTAGAGGGAGAAGCCAGATAAAGTGCTTCTGTAAAGATTTATAGCTTTGAAAACCTCTTGGGTGTTTGCCATGAATCAAACCTGGCTTGGGGTCAGTGGAGAAATAGTTTTATGAGAAAGTTTGAAATGTTGTGACAGTTATAAAAGTGTGACACAGAGACATGAAGTGTGCACATGCTGTTGGGAAAAAGGTGCTGATACCTCCTTGCGAATTTCAGATGGGTTCTGCCTCACAGTGACCCTGTGTTGGTTGTCTGAGGCTGTAAATCATTACGGGGTGGCTGCCAGGTACATGAAAGGATCAGACCTTTCATTTAGTAGCACAACACTAATACACTAGAGCAGTAGTGCTGTCATAAACGTTCAATTTGTACAACAACAAACGTGCCTCCAACTCTACGATATGTGCCAAGTACCAGACAGGGAAGCACAAAAAGATGTGTCTGTAGTCTGCATTTGTCAGAAAGAAAAAAAAATTGCTATTTTAGTATTGTTGTTATATACAGTTGGAACAGAATCAATGGAGTTTTAGAAACAGTAAATTGCACAGAAGAAGCAGCTGGTGGATTTGAACCATGTGCTTTTGGGTTGGCTGTGCAATGCCTTTCCATGGGGCCACTAGAGCTCCCTATTTCATTATTAGAAAGCAGTACTACTACTGATTAGATTAAAAAAAAAAATCAAAGCCTCAATATAAACATCATATTACCTTGAAATCTTCTTAAAAGAATTTTGAAAAAGCCATTTCAGGAAAGAGATACTAGCGGCATAGTGCAGACTGTACTGGGTGGCTTAATGGGAGGGCTGCAGTTCAGTCCTAGCTGCGTGGAGGGAGAAAGATGGCCATACTATTGTACAGGTTTCACGCCATGGATGGTTGCTATAAATCAGTTGATTTGATGGCACTGGTCTTGGGCACTATTAGACGGCTCATTTTACAAATGAGGAGACAGGCACAGAGAAGTTAAGCAATACCCCTAAAGCCACACAGTAAAATCAATGGAACAGGGATTTGAACTCTTGTAGTCTGGGACAACAATGGACTTGAGGGTGATAGAGATCCCGACGATGATACAGGACAGGGCAAGATTCATCTATGTTGTTCGTAGGATCACTATACATCTTAGTTGGCTCAACTACATGGAATAAACAACAGTCTAGGGCCCAAACCTATGATCTTAACCAGCATTCCATGCTTATTTCTTATTGACTAATCTTGGAAGGTCTTATAAAGATAGATCTGTGGCTCGCCTCATTGTAAGCATAGCCTAACAGTACCCTCTCCTTCCCATTAGGGGGAAAAAAAGGAAATGTTTAGACATTTGGCAAAAACCTGGTGAACCTAGTTAATAATCATCCTTGAGGAGAATATCTCAGATATTCTGAGGTAAGGCTACATAAAAGTAACTACCGAGATGAGTTTAACTACTACTGTTCAGCAATATTCATGAGAGACATATAGATTTAATAAAGATACTTGTGAGTAGTCAGTTAACACTTCAAGCTACTTACTCAGGGTGATGGTCTCATGAAAGAAGATACATGAGAATAGGTTTCTTTTACCAATCAAGAAGTTGAAATGTTAATTTCAGGGAAACATAACTTCCAGCAGGTCAGATTCTTTAAATGTTGTTATGTGCCATCAGCGACTTATAGCAACCTTACATACAACAGCTCTGAACTATCCTGAGCCAACCTTATTGTTTCTGACACACCTACTACCTCCATCACCCTAGACACTGAAAATTTTCCCAAAAATGTATTTCAAAAAGGATAGGGAAAAGATGGTCCTGTCACCACTGTTTAGAAACGGAAAAGTGATTATAAGCAATATAGTGGTGAGGCGAGGTGGATATTTACCAACAAGAAATCGAAATGCAGGTTCTGCTTCTGATCCCAGAATCTTAATCTTGTGGAAGATGGGGAATGTCACTCCAAAGTTCTTTCTTGCGAAAGACTCCACTTCTTTGCTGGGGCGGGGCTCTGAGTCTCCAAACTGATTGCAGGGGAAAGCCAAGACGTTGAAGTGGAAGGTCCCGAATTCTTTGTGCAGTTCCTGCAGTGCTAAGTAATTTCTCTCTGTGAGTTTGCAGTCACTAGCCACGTTTACAACTAGTGAAACCTCCCGGAAAAAGAAAAAAAAAGCCAACCGGAAAACGAAGCAAAGATTAAAAAAAGGATTCTGCCAAATAGTTAAAAACCTAACCCACTTTCAGAGAATACGGCTTCTGATACACTGACGGCTATTTTATATTTATACGTAGGTGATTATTTTATATTTAGAGATGGTTCTTTAAGATTTATAATTAGATAACTATTTTTTACTTATAGATGGTACTGCTACATTTACAAGAAGCATACTCAGATGTTGGAGTTAAGACCCTGAAAAATCACTATAAAAAAAACCCAAGTACTGACAGAAGTGTATTTTAAAATAAAACATATGTTCATTGATAACATGCTCTTTAATGTCATTAAACTATGCAGTCTGTACTATTGTTAATAAATGTCGCTGTGTACACATTATTAACAAGCATTTTCTAAGCATCTTAAAGTACTGATTGAACATGTGAACGAAACTATTTAAAAGAGAAACGTTTATCAGAAGTAGATAAATGATTAGAGCTTTGTATACAAAGAAATAGATATTACTTTGAAAGCTAAGCCAAATTCAAAGCCCACACTGATGATATTAAGAAAATAGAGACCACGGAAAACCAATAGAACAACGATCAGAAGAAGATGCACTTACTTTGCCCTTAAACTTTTCCAGAGACACGATTTTTCCTTTGGCATCCTTCACTTCAAAGGCATAAAAGCTACCAATTCTGGGTCTTGGGAATTTCAATTGCAGAAGAAATACTAACACTGTGCAAAGAACCATAGACAAGAAGACTGCAAATACTTTTGCTTTGGGCCCCCAGCATTTTAAAGGATAAGCAACAATCGGCTCCATTTTGGATGATGTCTAGAGGGGAAGGCTCAGAGGGCTGGAATTCAAGGAGGAGCTGAAACTTGAGACTGGCTCAGCCTAACGGAAAACCAGGAAGAGCCAACTAATTGGTGGTTGAGATCTGGGAAGAGCCTTCTTAGAAGGACAAAGGCGTGGAACTCTGAATGAAAGGGGGTTGATTTAAAGACAATGCATTGTGATTCTAATTGCAATTGTTACTAGAAAAAGTCCTTTTCGGGGAGCTCTTGAACACAATCCCGACACTGGAAACATTTCACCGGAAGATGGCGCTCCTGTAACTTGCAAACCTAGACGTGCCCTAAGGAGCGCTGTGTTTGTGGAGCAATGGGCTGGATGTAGAGGATTGGGCAATACAGTACGCAGGAAGGGCTTAGAATGCAGATCAAATGTGATCTAATAATGTTATGCACAATCTGAGGGAATTTATTATGTGTATCTAGATTAAATATATCATATGTTTAAGTAATTTATAGTGTAAAGAAGAGAGAAATACTGGAAAAATGATTTACCCTAAACCTATATATAACGAACATAACCAAATGCATGTGGAATAGAATAAAAAGAGATCAAAGCAATTCAGGCCAAAAAAACGAAATCTTTATCATAAGGTGGGGAGCTCTGCTCACACAGTTAACCCAAAGCAGGACTTCTCTGGTGCTTTGAATCCACCATTGGTTTCTCTGGAGAAAGATGGACAAATCTGCTCCCATGTGATACACAGCCTCCAAAAATACAGGAAAGGGTCAGCTATAGTCAGTTCAGCCTTGAGGGCCATGAGTTTTTGCTTTTATAATACCACAAACTAAGTTGTTATTAAGTGCTCTTGAGTCAGCTCCAATTCAAAGCAATCTTTGTACAATAGCGTGAGTAAAACGGCAAAGCCCTATCAGATCTTCACATTCTCTGCAGTGCTTAGGCCCACTGTTGCAATCATGGTCAGTTTATCAATGCGGGGAGATCCTCCTATTTTTTTCCATTGAATCTCTATCATACCAAGCGGAGTAAGGACTCCAACCAAAATGGGGTTGATTTCTGCTTCTCCTTGAAATACCAAAGCAAAGGTATTTGCAGTTTTCCTGCTTATGGTCTTATGCATAAATATTATTATTTCTTCTACAATTGAAATTCCCCAAACCTTGAATCAATAGCTTTTATGCTTTTGAAGGGAAGGATGCCAAAGGAAAAAGAATTTCTCTGGAAAAATTTCAGGGCCCCCAGGGACAGGCCCTTCCTGATAACATGTCTGAAGTATACTGAGATAAGGTTTCACTGTTCTTACTTCTTTTTTTTTAATTAAATTTTATTAGTTTTAATGAACATTTACAGAGATTTTGGGTTTTTATTCATTCATT